AGAGAGAGAGAGAGAGAATTCGTGAAACTGATATTAAGTGGACTCTCCTTTTTCATCCACCTAAATACACATACATACATACATACATACATACTACACGCGTATAAATGAATTTTGCACGCTACATCTTGCTGATAGTAGATAGATATCTTTCTATATTTATTTATATTATCTTTCTCTCTCTATCTCTCTCTCTCGTACTTTAAAAAATCGAAACAATCGCAAAATTGTGCGAGCTTACCGACGAAGAAACGTAACATAGGCGAGTCCCTCGATGCGAGAAATCTTCTACCGGCTCCTCCCTTCTACCTTTTCTATCTTCTTCTTTTACTTCCTCTTCCTATTCCTCTTCTTATTATTCTTCTTCGAAATGAAATGAATATATCGCGCGCGCGGGATCACTAACTGGTAAAGTCTACTTTAACCGAATTTAATTCGTGTACGTAGTATTACTCCGAAATAATAAGCTTTACCCTTTTAATGACAATTTGACACAACGATGAGTAAATTAGTGTTGTCCTCGTTCTTAGGAATTCTTAATATGGGAGATGAAATTTCATCAACGGACAAATCTATTTCATTCTCACTAATAATTCATCTTCTTCTTCTTCTTCTTCTTTTATCTTCTATTATATATACTCACCGCATATACTACACGTGCAAATATGTCTTTCTTTACCTTCGTAGCTTTGTCTCTCTTGACGAATCGTTATGTCTGGCTACGTTCTCTTCTCTTGACGAGAAAAATCGATAGATAAACAAAGTTGAAAGGCAATGTGCGCGTTCGTAACACAAGACCTCTCCTATTTAACGTCTACTTTATTGTCTTTCTAACTGTATCTGACCCCCCCTCTCTTTCTTTCTTTCTTTCTCTTTAAGCAATGTACTTTAAAAAATTATCTTTTTTCCTCTTCTATTCATCTATTCGTAGAATTTGTTCACCTAATTAAACGCATATGTTATACGTCAAGTGTCTATATTTCTATATATATGTATACAAGGTATAGTGGTTTTTAAAACACACTATTAGAATAATTCGCGTCAAACCCGGTCTTCTCACAGACTTTTAACACGAGACAGTTTTTTTTAATCTTACTTGTCAACACTTATGAAGTACACCGTGCAATGTGCTGCGCGAGACTAACGCTGCTCGTGTTTTACGCTAACGGATAAGTAGCGCCACCGGCTTATTGTTTTGCGATGGGTGGGACTATCCAACGTACTGCTCGATCGTCATTGGCTCTCGGCGATGGCTCGTGTTTATCAACCAATCAACTACGAACGATCAACTTTTCCGATAGGTTTATTGTAGCGTGGGGAAACGCGTGATCCTGATGTTTCTGTCTTATCAGCCAATCGTTTTTTCGAAAAATCAATGTATAATTAATAAGTAGTATTGAGCTTTTTTATAACTTGGAAACATATAATAATCTTTTTGTATTATAATAATGTCGACATTTTAACAAAAGAACATACTTCAGTTATCCTGTTATTTTATTACGAAGAAATTCTTTCGATAATTTTTACCCTTTTTTTGTTACACCCGTTATCGTGTTATCACATTGCATTCTAGCGGATATTTAAGTTACTAATGATCGTTGAAATCTCTCAGGTAATAAGTGACTTACCAATAGTACTGTAATGTTTATTTAAATTGTACAGTGTTATTATTGTGCTTTATTTAAGAGTAAAAACTTATTTAATTATTAGAAATATCTTATTGTAATTAAAACTTTTGCGAGGTAAGTCGAGATAGAATTTGATATTATTGAATTGTACGTAAAAAAACAATTTATTTAAAAAATCAGATAATTATCATCGAAAATAACCTATTTGTTTAGATACATTTAAATGTCTATATAATTTTATATTGAGATACATTATTAATAATAAATCATTTTTTTATAAATATATCTTTTTATACTTTTTCATTCATAATAATTAAATTTATAATAATTCTTTCAATATTCATTAACTTTTTGATTTAATAAATATTAATTCAATGTAAGGTATGAAAAGGACAGGAAAAATTGTTATATTTATGTATCTTAGATATAAACACATTGTATTCTATATTTAATATAATTTTATCTACAAATATAATAACGTATATTGTTTCCATCTTAAAACTTGTTAATATTGAGCATAAATATATATATTTTTTTATTATTATATATTATCTCACATATACCAAGTTATCATTTATAGAAGATAGAAGATGGTACAAGATTCTTGGCACGTAATTTATAATTAAAAACAGGATTTTTCAAATCATGAATTACGACCCTATGTAGAATTGCCTAATTAAATTTAGAAATTCACAGAAATTGTAGCAAAAGTAAAAAATTAGTTTAATTTATCTTTGATACGTGACAAAATTATATTCGTATATAAACCAAAGAATTTTTTTAAAACTTTCTTTATGATTTATTATTCACAAATACTAGTAAAAATATTTGCTTAGATAAATAGGGTGATTCACAAGCAGAAAAGTTTGAAAAACCCTGATTTTCAATTATTATATGCATTCAATTTTGTAATTACACATTAATACTTTTTTTAATGTTTACATCTCAGTAACAATAAAGAAAAAATCAATTTAAAAAATACTACTTTTGTACGAACACTTTACGGGGAATAATTTAAATAATAATATTTATGAATCTCATAATAAAGTAGAAAATATTCGCATTCCAATGTTAATAAAAATGATTGATGGAAAATACGTTACAATTAAAATAGAAATGTATTAATTAAATTCGTTTCTAATCGATTAATTTTTTTTTTTTTGGCATATTGAGAGTTATAACATTATTTATGTTATCGCAAATTGAAATGTATTTAAATGTATATCTTAAAGAGAATAATTTATTGGAAGACTATACCGTATTTCAATCAGCGAAAGATTAAATTAAAAGTTGAAATATACTTTTAAAAACTATAAGATAAATATCAAAAATATAATTATTATTCAATAATTATATTTTTGACACAATAATTAATGACACATATATATATATAATAATGTTAAACGCGCATATAATATTACACAATTTAAAATATTTTTCTTTTTTTTTTTTTTTTAACGCGTTATACTAAACATAATTTGCCTGCAAAATTATATAACTCAGCTCAAAGGAAAGATATATGTAAATGTAGGATTCGAGAAAAAAATAAGGCCATTGGACTGATCCTGAAAACGAACCCAAAGTCTTTTACTTTCAAGCCAACTAAACTAACTTTCGAGTTATCCAAAACTTGCTACTCAACTTTCTCATGAATGCCTATTTTATTATTAGGGTACGAAAGTGTTGCTCGATCCCACATAAACAATATATAATTATATTTTAATTTTGTTCAAATTTAATTATAGATTAAAAAAAAAAAGTATTGTTTAAATTATAAGCAACATATTTCCTTTCTTATAAATTGTAATCACTTCTCTAGCTGCAGCATGTATTTAAATCTCGCTCTCCCTCTGTCTGTTTGTCCCTGTCCACCTGTGCATACATACATCCAAATATATATATATATTTATATATAATATATATTATTTCGCTTAACGTTCTATATTTAAAAATTATTTATAATATAATATATATATATATATAACGAGATATATTTATAATCTCTAAATATATAATCTTATTTATATATCACACATTAAGAATGGTCTAAAATTGTTTAGTCTCATGCCGTGTATTGTAGATTTGTATTATTAGTTAGATATTAGTAATATCTGGTAATACTGTAATTATTGTTTCTTTTTTTTTTGTTTTTATTATAATTTACAAAAAAACACCCTGTCGTATTCATCGATCACTATTATTACATCAACCATATGAGTCCCAGTGTTCCTTAAAAAAATCCTGTTGGAAAAAATTGAATATTGTTGTTTACATCAATAAAATGTAGTTGGGCCTTTTCAACATGAAATTTAAAGAGCATGATTGCTCTACTTGGGACTTAAACGGTTAATATAACTGACCCCCTTCCTCTCCAATTTTCTCTGTTTTGTATAAGATATTTTTTTTTTGTTCTTTTCTTTTTATAATCACATAAATATATTATTAAGATATATAATATTGATGAAAATTTTAAACGACACAAATAATTGAACATTCAACCCTTTAACAAACCACATTCAACAACTGCTAGATTTTTTTTTCTATATATATATATATATATTTTTATTTCAAAGATCTTTACCATTTATCCAAATAATATTTTCCTATTTATTTATTAGATTTATTAATTTTCTATATTTATATGTATATTTTTATTTTTTGTAATTAAATGTTGCAGTCTCATGGATTACATTGGTATAGAAAAGGGTTAAATTATAATACGTTCATACTATATATCATTGAATTGAACATAGCAATATACAATAAACTGTAGTAATAAAAATGAACAAACATTTTTTCATATAAATATACAAATTTAAATATTTTATTCTTTTATCGATTTAGTTGTATACTTTGAAAAATAATTGTTAACGTGTTGTGTTCACGCACTTCAGATATTTTATTGAAATCCCAGCATCAACACATTTGTGATGATAATCAATAGGAATAATAAATTCTAAGTCTCTTGATTGGTTCTTTTAAAAATATTTGACATTTTTTTCAATTTTTTTTTTTTTTTTATATACGATAGAAAAAATAATTTTACAAAAATAATCTATCATACATAGTCAATATTTGTTCGTATAATTATTACTACAGTTATGTATAAAGCTTTCTAAGATCTTTCTATTAAACATTTGTATAATCTCTGCCATATATATGTATATATATATATATATATTATTTTATAATAAAATTAAAAATTTCATATATAATTTTAAAAGATTTATTTATATTATTTAATTAATAACAACAAGAACACAGAGATAATACAAAAATTAAATAGAAAGAAGAATAAAAAAAAAAAGCACTTAATGATTAATTATTGTTGCATTAAAATTAGTTTTACAAACTTTGCTTTTTTTAATTGAACAGTCTATAGATTATTATTTGCAGTCTTCTCTTCTTTTTTTTTTTTTTTTTAATAATCAACAAGCTTTTAATACTTTATCCAAACATATAAGCACTCGAAATAAAAATAAGATAAAATGAAAACATACAAATTTAATGCTTTTCATTCTAATGAAAAGTAGCCAAATTTTACATTCATCAAATAAATGTGTTAAAGAATTAGAAATAATAATAATAAAATATACGATAAGTAATAGTACAATCAAATGAAAATTAGAAAACGTTACTCTGAGGTGTGATGCATTGATGTTAAAAAAACGAATCAATAAATTACTAGCAAAATTAAATCTATCTACTAACTCTATTTTTATAAAAATTCATATATCGATATATGTAAATAAATAATTGGATTGAAACTATCTTGTCGAGTTCTATTAAATTGTTAATAAAAAATCATTAAAGCTAATAGGCCGGATATATCATCGTTTAATAATAAACAAAAAAATAAAGGAACTATAATTATTAATCGTTTGAGTCCCAAACAGCATTTCTCAGATTTCTTATTGAAAATTACACACCTAACATTCGTTGATATGATTTTCCTATAGATATTTCGGCAACTCAAACGGTTAAATTATAAAAAAATAATTATGTTAATATATTTACACATTGCTTGTGCAGAAAAAAAAGAATAAAGAGCTTAATAAATACGCGAAATTAGCATTCAACGTTTAACTTGCGTGGAAATAATAATAATAATAATAATTATTATTATAATTATAACATAGCATAGATAAATATAAATAAGCACCCACGTCTCGACGCATCGAATAATATAATACATATTAGTAATGAAGTTAAATATTCATTATTATCAACAATTGCGATATCATGAAATTGTTTTTTATCACAAATATTTTAAAATCTATATGCATTTTTGTTAAAATTAAATTTTCCTTAAACGAGAGGAATTAACAATCCGTCTGCATATGCTAGTTACGAGTAAATTCAATGATTGTGACAACGATGATGATGATGATGATGATGATGATGATGATGATGATGATGATTGATGATGATGATGATAAAATAATAATAGTAGTAATTATAATATCATAAAATAAAATAGTAGAAATAATGAAAATGACAACGTCATTAAAAGTATAACAATTATAATAATATAATATTAATAAAATATAGTACTAATTGAAAAGTGATTGCAGGTAATGGTGGTAAAAGTAATAAATGACGATGATGATTGTAGTAATAATAATAATAATAATAATAATAATAATAAGAAATAATAATAACAGTATATCTAATACTCATAACAGAGGTAACAGTGCAATTCTAATATGATATAAAATGCATTATAATTTAGTAATTCCATTCATTGCAGAATGACAATTTGGACTTATAATGTTTGGCACATAAAAAGTTCTTAGATATCTAATCTCCCGTATATATATATATATATATCATTAATTCTTACGATAAAAGTCTGAAAAAATGTAATCCATTTTAACTTTAACAGGTAGAATATATCTAAAAAGGTGAGTTAGTCATTCTGCTTTGACATCAATTTCAATACTATTCTAAACATATGTGAGGAATTAAGATACACCGTTACGGCAGCAGCAGTAGTAGCAGCAACAAATAATAACAAAAAAATACTATTGCGATACAAAATTCAATGAGATATAGCCTGTCGTTTAGTTTTGATTGCTTAACATTGTAATTTATGTATTTTTGTGTAAAGAAAAAAAAATGAAAATAAAAATAAAAAGAAAGATAGAAAGAATGAGGAGTAAGGGCACACCGAATTGTTTTTTTTTTTTAGTGTCTATGTGTGTGTCGCATCTCCTACCTTTTACTAATATATGTATGTTTATCCTATTTTATATTAGTTAGAGTTTTAAGAGAGCGAACAACATTAAAAATTGTACAAATTGCTGGATATTGCGGATTAACACGTTAAACGCCATACCAGTCTTTACAGAGCAACCAGCTTTAGATATTCTATCTAAGCCATGTTGATCACTGATAAGTAACATTTCCGTATCTTCTATGGCCGATAGTGTTCATCGTGGCCTAAATGGAAAACTCAACAAAAGAGGCTTAGCGCTTAACGTGTTAAGGATAGGCAGGCTGGGTCAGTTGGTATTTTGTTTGTTGGAGCGAAGGCGAGCCAAACCGGAACGCTCACCCTCTTCTTCATCTGATGTACAAGGTGGTGCACCACCCACAGCACCACGAGAAGATGTTGCCTGCATTAATTCTTGATCTGGTCCATTACGATGTTCGTATAATAAAATATTTAACATTTCCTCATAAATGCGAGCTTCTGGAAATTCGACCTGAATATCAAGGAATTTCAAGTTATTGCTGGTTATATATTTTTGAGAAGATTCGCACATTACAGATAGGTAGTTAGATAGATAGATATAATATCACATTGATTATAAATCTTACCTTTGTATGTTTTTTATCTGTTGTATATACAATCGAATGGCAGCATACTTCGGCTACTTTACGACCATGGCCGTAAAATGTCCAACAGCAAATTTCACTTGAACCGATAACATCCTTGATAAATAGCACCCTACCATTAAATCTAAGAGACATTTTATCAAATAATTCTATATTTTTTAATAGATTGTCGTCTGATGTACTGGAATGATATAAAAGATTACATATATTTTTATTTTGTTTGTATTTTTATCAAAGATAATGCCTTAACTTACGTTGTCAAATAACTTAACTACAAAAATTATTTATAATACTACCTTGTATATGAGTATTTGTTATTGTGCCTATTTATAATAAGTTTTACTACTGGCTTAGCAGTATTACTTATAAGAAGTTGTTCTTCTCTTTGAGACGTAATCAGTGAGACGGTACAAATGGATTCAGCTTCACGTTCTTTCCTAAGAAGTGCTTGCTCACATGATTCTGCTAACTCGCTAATACAATAGTATTTAGCTTCCGATAAAAGTTCTGCCATTTCTTTAGCGCTTTCTGGCAATGGAACTGAACCGTCTCTTAGGAAATTCAATATTGTACCAAAGTGTTTCCCACACCGATCAATTAATACCCATCCTATTACAAAATTTATAAATGTAACTTAAAAACAACTGTGTCAACTATTAGTTATTAAGACAAAGTAAATACAAATAAATAATATTTTTAGTGAATATCATCTGTGTAGTGTTCAAATAAAGTGCATATTATTTGATAGAAGAAGAAAATCTATATAATTTGAAATTATAATAATTGAAATTAGTTTAATACCTCATTACAAACTGACAGCAAATAATAATTCTCAATATGTCACTTAAACACAATGAATATCACTATAATTCATTATTCTTAATAAAATACTATATTACACTTAATACGTCACTTAATATGCACACATATTATTTCAATAATAATATTTTAATATTTAAAATATGTATTTTTCGTGTAGAAAGAGACAGAACAGATCAAAACAGAGAAAAAAAGATGGCGGCCGCACGGTTAACAATCTCGAAATGATCGAACGCTTATCGAGAATAAGTACAATATCGTTGTACAACGATATATCGTGTTAATCGTGAATAGGAAAGGCAAAAAAGGTATTATTGAAATTGATTTAACATGTAAATCTATATTTTGCATAAAATATCTTACCTTCGGAGTCGGTAAGAACCTCCATACGACCACTGAACATGGCGCGTAACATCGTGTCATGTTTTTGCAATGTTCCCAAAGTCGTATAATGCAAAGAACCACCGATATTTAACTTTACGTACTCCGAAGGACACTTTGTTTTATTATTAAACGTTTTATGATTTCCAGACATAACGAGCTTCGACACAACTCCAAAAAAGATTTAATTAATTAATCAAAACTTACGTACGTACGTATGTGTGTGTTGTGTATGTTATGTGTGTGTCGTATACGTGTATCCGTGAAAATAAATTAAGACAAAATATAAAGAAATGTAAAAGGGGGGAGGCGGGGTGTGATATAACGAGTTCTTGATTTTTTGTTTTCTTTTCTTTTTTTTTTCGAAGTGTCAAATCCACCGTACAACGACGACAACGACAGACACGAAGTTAGGCACTCAATGCACTCTCGATCGAATTTTTTTTTTCTTCTTTTACTTTAATCTTTATCTCTTTCCTTTTTTTTTTTACGTTCGACGAACGACGAACGAACTAATATAATCGATTAGATGATCATCCCTTTTTAGGTAGCCTCGTATAACCTCATCGTAATCGTAATGATTTATTATTATTATTCACGAGATATTACAAATCACAGAGCTTCTTCGCGCGATTCGACACGAAAGAATGCATCCTACCGTACCCCCATTTTACTGAATGACTAGTGGCACAAACGACGAGCCAGGATCGTCAAGCTTCAATATAGATATCGTATCGCGTGTATAATGTGTGCACGTGCTGTATTCCCTTCTGCGTTGAAATTTCTTTACTTATCATACGTCGGTAACTTACCTACATACGAACAATCGATTGTCGATAATATGCGATACATGTATGTACAGATGATAAAAAAGATTTTCATTCTAATCTATTCCTAGACAAATTATATATTCTATAGGGGTTTACTTGTCTATTTTTTCTTAATATTTCTAAATAATTCTTATAAAGAAATAAAATAATACACGAAAAGATATTTTCGTATTTTCTTTCTTTTTAAGAGTATTTTTTTTTAGGAATAATAGAAAATTATTCTAATCGATATTATAAGCGTCAGTAAAGAAAATATGTATGTATATATATATAAATATATATGTAAATAGATCACCATTGACAACCCAGGGTAAAAACAAAAATGAACGCATGCGTATCGAAGGTACAAAAAAAAAAGGTAACATTAGTTTGTTTTGTTTGTCTCGTTAAACAGAAGTATGGCTGATTCGTTGACGAAGTACGGCCTTTACATAGATGATTTAAGTAAAATTTGTATCTTAGAACCGGAAGTAGCTAATCAGACGAATAAATTAAAGGAAGAATGTCAAAATTTCATTACCAGTAAGTCAATCAGGCGTTGTTGATCTTGTTCAGCAATGATATTGATTGAGATGATTCTTTTATGCACACTTTCCAACATTATGTATGATTCCTTTTTCCTTTCTTTTATATAGATCCTTTCATTTGAACATTTATGCACATAATTTTTTGCACACTTTCAATGAAAATATTATAAATTTTAGAATCCACTTTATTCTGACTCGAATTTTCTTCTGATTTTAACTTGTTGGTTATCCGTTCACTACCATAACACGTCGTTCGATCAGGAATGTCATGCATGCTCTACAGTACGACGGTACAGTACGGTACGAATGAAAGAAAACGAAATTCCCCGAGAACGTTTCTTTTTTTTTCTCTCTCTCTCTCTCTCTCTTTCTTTCTCTTCTCTTTACTTTCTTTTTTATTTTTTTTATTTTCTTATTACAAATTCTCCATTAAAATTAAGACGCGATAATTCTCATTTTACGTCGTCAGTGCGTTACGCGCGCACATTTTGACTTTTAAATCTTTTTTCTTTTATTTTTATTATTTTATCGATTAATGAAAATAAACAAACATTAATAGAAGAAGATAAATATTTCTTCGAATTATTTTCGGAGATTGTACCGTTATTTTTACCATTTTCGTTTACCTAAAATATTTTATTTCTTATCCTTTTGTTGTTGTTGTTGTAATTTACATAACAATTTGTTTATTTTCGAGTCAAAAAATTACAATTGATATTTTATTTTTTATTTTTAAAGTTTATTCGTTTATCATTTTTTAAATAGGAATTGTAGACTTTCAAAAGAATTGTAACAAATTCATCGACCTGATGGACAACTGGGCGAACGAGGTTGAAAAAGAAAAAATGCGGACGATCGGCGCGCGAAATTTGTTACGTTCGGTTGAAAAACAAAGAGACGCGCAAAAACAACAAATACAGGTTTTCTTATTAACAATCCTTTGTTTTTTCTTCTTTTTCTTTTTAATTAATTAAATGAAAACATAATTTTAGGCATTAATTATGGAGAAATCAATGGAATTAGAACGTTTGAGAATTCAATACGACTCATTGAAAAAAATTGAAATGGAACAGCTGGAAACAATTGAGCATTTAACAGTCAATTAAAATTTATCGCTAAACAAAAATAATAATAATTATAATGTAATAATAATAATAATAATAATAATCGTAATTGTAATTGAATATTTTGTAACAGAGGGAAAATGTTGAAAAAAATAAAACAATAATAACCACAGTAATAATAATAATAATAATAGTAATAATAATAATGCTAATAATAATAATTAATTTATAGACTAATCGAATGAACATATATTATGAATCAGAATATTACTATTGTACATAAGTTTGAGTCGAAGTTTGTAGCTTAAAAGAATGCATGAAGGGGGTTTGAGGGGGGTTTTTGATGGGTTGAGGGTGGTAAGGGGGTGTACGAGAGAACCCTTCTTAATGAGAATAATAATGGTGTCAAGAGTTACACAGTACACATATCGGTTAAGTTGACAAACCCCTGAATTGAAAAGGCACATCAGTTTTATTTTTTTTTTTGAATCGATACTCTGAAGACTCGGTACACGAGTATCGTTATAAAAATCTACAAACAGTTTGTCAATCCGTATTGACAATTTCATTGAGAACATTCTACGACACGAGAGAATCATCGAGTTATTATATTTGTATTTTTTTTTTCTTTTCTTTTGTTTTCTTTCAGCAGCGATTACAGTTTTAGGCATCACCACCACAACAACGTTTTGTGCTTTTGCATTTCTTTTTGTTTTGTTTTAATTAGGTCTTTCGTTTCACGTATTATTTCTTATTTGTTTCTTTCGATAAAATCAATGAACGTAATTCGAATTAGTACAGTTAAATGGGAGCGACATATATTTACATTTTGTTGTCGAGAAATGATTGTTTTTCTTACTTCTTATTTTCTATCGTACAATAATTATATGTCACAAATGATGAATTCTCGCACACGAGATGCCCTTAAGTGGTACATTATAGTATAGTATATAATATTATACATAAGTTTTTGCAGATTGATCTTTTTTCTATGTACGTACGTAAATATATCGAATACTGTCGATGAAAAATTTCAATTATTCATCGTATTAGTTTTTCTACATAAAGGAGGAGCATTCGAATTCATTGACAAAAGTGCGATGGCACTTTTAAAGTAACGTAACGTGAGATTACTATTTATTTATTATTATTATTAATATTATTATTATTATTAATAATATATTATTATTATTATTACGTTTTTTTCCTTTTTTTTTCTGTTAACAATATTATCAATACAAAAAATCATAGAACGATAACATCTGATAAGCGGACGTCTTAATTCTGCAATGAAAGATTTTTTTTTATGCTCAAAGATTATGCCCGTTCAACCATTGTACCCCAGGGATTCAAAAATAAACTTTATTTTGTAAAGATAAGAAACGGTTTCTGTTCGTGTACCTGTGTTTATGTTCAGTATTGCGCGTGTGTGTGTTTATATATATATGTGTATGTATAGTGTTTAGAATTATTACAAATATAAATCCTATACCCTAAATTTTATAAATATATACAATTACATATACTTACTATATTATAAGTAGGCTAACAACTTAAAGAGAATATTTCGTCAATTTAAATGGAGCAAATGAGATGATAAGTGATTAACATTGCTTAGAAAGCTAAATTAAATAATTAAAGAAAAAAAAGGAGAGAGAAAGAGCTTCATTTACATATAATTTACAATGTGTGGCTTTTTACACACATTTAACCGAATTTGTGACTTTTAACATTTTTATGTGTTCTATCTGATTTATTAAAAATAAAGAAAAAAGAAATTCTTGTATTCTCTCTTTCAGACACAAATGCACATATACTTCTTCTGATCGTTAAATATTTTGTAAATAAAACGTAAAAACAAAGAAGCAACGTATCATCTTCATATGCTCCAATATCTTTCAGTCTATAACCAACAGCCACCAACTAACGCACTTCTCTTCCTTCATCACACATTTATGTAGTAACTAATCGTTACTGTACGTTTATGATTATACATCCATCTTCAATGAACAGTTTTACAATGTAATACATTGTTTGAAAATGAATTTCACATTCATCCATCTGCTCTTGGAAAGAAGAGGAGATCAGTAGTTTATAAAATCAATGTTTTCAGTTGGTAATTTAAATAGCTGCTTCTGTTTTAAGACGTTTACAAGATTGCATTCTATTTTCCTCGGTAGAACAATCATTGCTCTCTTTATTAGGGCTAGAAGGTGACAATGATCTTTTATCTTTTACACAAACTTCGGCTATTGTTGCGTTCGTTGCATTTGAGGATGGTGGTTTAAATCGTACGATCACTGCCGTCATATTATCACAACCTGTACCATCGCCAAAAGTATCTGGTGCGAGACAATGATCAAATAACTGTAATACAAAAGATTAAAGAAATCATTAGAATACATATAATAAAATAAGAAATATTATTAAATGTAAACCAATTACCTCTTCGCAAATTTTAGAAATGTTATCATACTTTTCGGTTAAACGTGATTTAATGAATTGTACAACACCCTGGCTCGACATAAAATTCCAAATACCGTCGCAAGCCAATATCATGAATTCATCCCTTTCTGGTTCAATAGTAATATGCCTTACATCTGGAAGCGCAGATATCATTTGTTCCTGTGGTAGCAAAACTGTGTTTCTTTTGTATGCATGATCTCCAAGTGCTCTCGAAAGATTAAGGCCACCGTTCACTCTGCCGTCTAACGAAACTTTTCCACCAGCCTTTATAATACGTTCCATTTCTGGCTCGTCTTCTGGTTTATGATCTAAACTGAGTTCAAGAGCTTGACCATCCCTACACAAAACGCATCGAGAATCTCCTGCATTAGCTACGTATAGTTCGTTTCCTTTGAGTATGGCGACAACTGCTGTACATCCACTGTCCGAACCTGGCTATATAAGAAAAATAAGAGATACAATAATTATTTTCTTTTTTCTTACAAAATTTATTCTCTTGTCAAAGCAATGATACTTTGCAAACTGTATTACCTCTTCCAAATTTAATGCAGAATCTTCTTCATCTTCATCCTCATCATCATCTTCATCCATATCTTTTTTATCTTCGTCTTCTTCGTCGCTTTCATCTTCGTCAACATCTTCTGTATCATCTTCATCACTGAAATTTCATTATGCTTTAATCTCTCTACTTTGTACAATATAATTTTAAAGTTTATTCGTGCTATAGTTTTCGTTACAGTTAAATAATAGTTTAAGTATCAAACGCGAACAAGTTAAGTTATTATACCTTTCAAGTACTCCATTAAATGTTTCATCATTTTCATCATCATCATCATCATCATCCGCTTCCAACTCATCATCTTTTCTTTTTAAAAAACTTTGGTAAAGCTCGCTCGATTGAACTCTTCTTCGACCACTGCTACTTATTCTTTCCTGCTGTCCAGCATCTCCATTTTCTACGGGTGTACAAGAACTGCTTGATACGTTGTCACCCCCTCCTTTACTACTATCCGCACCTTCTATTCTTTTTGATTTTGCTCCATTTAATTCAACTTCGTTTGTAACTGTTACCGAACATGCCGACTTTCCAGGACTGGATACTTTTTCCTTAACATCTTCTGAACTATCCGGCATGTCGGCAGATTTAGCGGTTTCCATATCAGCGGTAGATACTACAGGTACTGATGCATGTATATTTCCATTGCTTGTGGTAGAGTCAAGAACTTGCTCTGCTTCGTTACTCCCAGATGATTCTTTTTTTTTCAATGTGACTGATACAGAGGAACCACATGGTTGGCTAGAGCTACTAACGTCAGCTTCGTTTGTATTCCATGCAGATGATGAAGATGAACAACCGGCACCAGATGACGAACAACTAGCTTTATCCTTTCCTTTTCTTACTACTAAGTATGGACACGCGCGTTTGGGACATTTCTCATTTTCAGCATGATTAGGCTGAACATTCCACATCTCTGATTGATAACTTGCTATAACTTGGTCTACCGGCATTGCAGCTTCTAAATGTAGATCGCTAATATTTTCTTCTTCATCTATGCGTAAGATAACAGGTGGTGAAGATAATTTTATTAAATATTTCTTCGTATAATTAAATAATTGGAATAGAGTATTTCTCAGAAGATACAAGAGGAGCAATGTTACATATATAAAAGTATAACCTGACATAATTAAAATACTTAGTGCAACAAAAAACGCACCAGTGTCGTTAAATTCATCCTCTTCACATCCTGGAGGTGATGGATTTGCAAGTTCTTTAAGAATACTAATTACTTCGGGTTTAGCTAATGTAGCATCAAAACCCAAAAAGGCATCGATCAATGCTTGTCTGATATCACCTCTTTTATAAGCTTCTGTTTCTTTAATAAAATTGGGAAGATTACGAGCGCAATATGTAGCTACCTCGTGTCCACCATGGCCATCGTATACAGCAAATAAAGAAACATCTTTGTCAAACTCTATGCAACAGTTGTGGGCATCCTACGAGTAAATAAATAAACCATATTAACTTGTATTGTAATTTTTGAATAAAGCTTTAAACGACTTATGTTCATATAACATATTTTTACATAGAATATACTGACACTGTTTAATAGGAATAATTTCAGACATACTGCATATAATAAAAATAATAGGTTATGAACCATTTGTTAATCCATTGTAAACTAAACTAAATAAATATATGAAATTTAATAAAATAGAGTACTAACCAAAACGTTTTTAACACCAGTACATACATATATGTATATAATATATATATATATATACATATAT